TACATATGTTTGTTGCTCTGTTTTCATTAGCTGTATAACTATTATTTTGGACAATACTAGTAGATGTATTGTTCTCAGTTAAACTATTCTTTTCATCATCTTCTGTTATTTTTAAATTCATAGCAGTAGAATCTGTTTCTGGAAATACTGTTGTCTGTATACTAGTAATTGTAGGCTCGTTATCAGCTTTCTCTATATTATTCGTCGGTTGATCCCCTTTTTCATGACCCGAGATATTTTTAATGCTATCATCTTTACTTTTTTTAGGTGTATCTTCATCGTTTGTTTTTTTACAAGTCATTAACTCTCTTTTTAATGAATGTGTTTCATTATAAACTATATTTTTATATGGAATTCGGGGTACAAATTCAGTATCATCATCAGATTCTGAATCTATTGTTGTTGGTGAAGTCCACATTTGTGTTTGAACATTTTTTGCGGATATGTTACAGTTCATTTCTTCATCAGCACTTTCAAAATCATCACTCTCAGATGTTGCCATGTTAATTTCACATTAATATATAAATTTCTTTTGTGAAATTAAAAATAACTGGCGAGAACATAAAGTTTCAATATAATCTACTCAAGTTACAATTCTGTTACAATCTCTCGTAAAAAAATTAAAAGTATAACCTTTAGTGAACACTTATGCATAAGTAGCAGAGATATCTAAATACGTCACATGTCGTATGCACATTAAATGTATATATGTATAGATAGATATATATGTATATGTGACGTCCGCAGTTTTCAAAACCGACAATTTCAATGTTTTACCAATTCTATATGTATAAACTTTGTAAATTCGAAAATTCCTAACGCACGTGAAAGGCGTTAAAAACAACTTAAAATTACAGTTTCAAATTTCCTTTAATTGTAGTACAATGCAGACGAATACGTTTTAAAATATGTTCTTTTAATCACGTGCAATTGTAAAAATACTAAAAATAAAATTTCCGTATTACGCAAAAAAGAAACTATGTTTCTAATTTCAACACAAATATCTAAACGAATTAGTTTCTTGTAAAAAATGATTTCTATAATATATTATGTAGATAAATATATTGTTGAACGACAATAAAGAATTAAAACTGAAAAGGAATTTCTTGATTGAATTTTAGCATCACACGAATAATAAGGAGAAAGAAAAAAATTAGCAACACTTAGAGATTTTAGGGATGCATGTAATACATTCTTAAAGGAGCACCAACGGATTACAATTAGTTTATCTATTTGTCCCGGATGTTCAACGGTCTCCAGTGCACCTGCGTTCAGAAGTTGTATGATAGCGCCATCAATGCAGCATATCGGAAAGTATGCGAACTATCGAAAGAGCATTGCGTTCGTTTGTTCCCGTCGCTGTTCGTACAGAGCGGTCAGAGACACGAGAGCTACTGCCAAGTGGAAGGGGCAGTTTGAGAGAAAGAGGAAGGAAGGTACAAAGCTGAGAGGGGATTACGTTCGGTTCTCATCGCTGTATGCGTTGTGACGGAGAGGAGAGAGAGTGAGCGAGAAGCATTGCTAAGCGCATACGGCATGAACGTCCAATGGCATGTTTCAAACACTCAAAATGCTTGTAGTTGGCGCGAGGTTGTAGTTCCGTCGAAGCGACAGAGTAGTTTGTTCGTATTCTTGGCACTTAAATCCACGGACCTGACATAGCGTGCAGTTTTTGTTAAGTCATATTCAATTGAATTTACGAACTAGTAAAAGTGCCTTGCGGTAACTATAACAGTGTCCTATTGTGTAAGTAAAAGTGGAGTGAAATAGTGTGTGGAGGGAACGTAAGGCGAATTCTAACATTTTTCGAATGAAACGTTATATTCGTTCACAGTGCCTGTTGCACAACCAATGGAAATTTTAATGCAAGAAGGAAAAGGGAGCACAGTGAAATGAGTTCAACAGTACCGGCATTAACGTGCATTCCTTAAAGCGGATCGTAGATAAAGATACAACCCGACTCGATTCTTCTAACAAGAGCAAACATTTTCTTATGGCAAAATTCTTTTGACCTTCGAACTGCGAGAAAAGACGATGTGAATTTGCAGACAAACTGGTACGCTCTGTCAATATTTCTTTCAAAAAGTAATCGATGAAATGCGTACCCGGATCAGACTTGAAAGCATTGCCTTTGTATACTGGCACGGTGCTAAATGTGTTTTTTAAACAGACCTCTAGCGTTTGATGTTACAGAACAAATAATAAATATGTAAAAACGATCGAAGTCAAGATATGTTTTATAGAAACAAATTATCGAACGTAATGTAATATTAACGCCTGGAGAAACGAAAGACAAGAATGTAAAGAAAGTGAACTAAAAGTGACACGACAAAAGGGGTGAAAGTGTGTTGTATGTCGAATTCAGCTTTTTATATGGTGCAAGGAAAGTAGTGTAAGGGCTGTGTTGTTTGCATAATTTTTTTAAATTCCAAGGTGATCAGTGTAAGGTTGAAATAAAAGTGTTACGATAATGTAAGGGATATCAAAACGCGCTACAGTATAAATGTAGGACCACGGTAGAGTCTCAAGACAAGATATCAACAGTAAAATTTTCTTCAACGGGCAGCTATGTTAACGGTGGAATTCCGCTTGAGAGGAATCTGAAGGCGGGGACTCTGACGTCACTCCGCTCATGATAATGAGGTATTCATGATGGCGGAGTAGCATGCGCGCGCGCGCGTGTACATATATACATATATATGTGCATATATACACGTTTGCGCGTGTGTGCGTGTATGTGTGAATGTGTTGCGCGCGCGCGCACTCGCCTCGCTCACATGGTTCTATATTATACACATACATAAACGTATAGCTTATTCGTGTGTGCGTACGCGCGTATACACTCGCGCATGTGTGTATGGTGTGTGTCTGTGTGTGAGTTGTGTGACACGCGTGTGTACGTGCATGCGCACACATATTATGTGCATTCCATTCGTATACTGTATAATATGTACATACATATGCGGTGTGTGCACGCGTGTACAGCGCATGTGTATAATCAGTGATGTGCAATACATCCCTTCTATTTTCATTCCACTGTAAGTCTGTGTGTATTACCGTTGCGTTCCTTCTCTTTTACCATTCGAACGAACCTCTTTATCTTTCTTTAAGCATCTATCTTTCTTCTTCTTCTATCAATACAATGTGTATATGGCGCGAGTAAAATGTATTCGTGCGCATAGATATGTGCTTGTTGACTGGTCGGTGATAGAGAATTTTGGATGGATTTAGAGCGCAGTGAAATATGCCAAGGAGACGAAATGGGGAGATACCGCTTCCGGACGGGTGGGACGTCGCGCAAGACTTTGATGGAAAAGTGTATTTCATCGATCACAATACAAGAAAGACAACGTGGATCGACCCAAGAGACAGGTATGTCAAATTTATGTACTCGCGTTTGTTGTATGCATGCGTACACGTGCTAAGTAACTGCTGCGGGAGTTTCTAAACTCGACGCCGAAATTGTTGATCTTTTAAAATCATAGGATTTTACGTACAAAGCCGGTTACTGCGATAGTGCGTATAACTCTCAAGAACATATAAGTCGGAATGCGAAATACTTCTGACATTAGATTACCCTCGTGAGAGTGCCCCTTAAGTTTCTAGCGTGTGTGTGTGTTGCTACTACGTCTATGTGTATATTCATACACCGAGGACTCGCCGCGCCCGCATTCCAGTCGCCAGGGCCGCGCGCTGTCGGTGAAAAACTCGAGATATCTGGTGATCAGGGTCGAGCCATAAACAGAATTATTATTTGTCTCTTAACTCTATATTCTTGCGTGTAAAAATTTCGTAGCTTATTGCAACTAAGTTAATTGCAATAAAATAATAGAATGTTGAACGATCAATTTTATGTTTACGAGAAAAATTTATTTTTCCCTTAATTAACATTCAGATCTTGTTTAAAAATCTGTTTAATAAATTAATGAAATAATTGAAATATTACTTAACAAACGAAATAAATCACGACATACAATATATATTATGTACTTATTATACATTTCATACGTATCAAATGTTATCGTGTATGATGCGATATAAAATTTTTGTATACATATTTATATTTATTAAGTTTTTCATCTATTTATTTTACTTTGATTGGAACTTTTCTATAAATTGATAAACATTAAATAATATTATATCTAAACATCACAAATATGTAACTTTTAAAATGTAACTAAATAAATATTGGATTTATCGAAAAATTATTTAATAATATTATCTTTTCATTGATGTTTAAATGTTGGAGAAAATTCTCATCCAAAAGCTATAAATTATAAATTAAATATATTTTTAATTTATATAAATATTTCTAACTTTCTTACCACACTGTGACAAAGTTATCAGTACTTATTAAATAAAGTCATAAAGGCTTTAGTTTGAGATTATACATAAAATGTAATTTAATAACAGGTCCTTTGTGTAAGGATAGGTTAATGTAAAAATAGGTTTTTATGGAACAGAAAGTTTACTGAACGAGAATTGTTAGTTCTCATAAATTGATAGAGATAAGCAATACTGTATTCACTGCAATGCATAATAACAATTATATTCTAATTTTCTTAACACTAAATAATGTTTACTAATTTTATAATTACATATTCTCGTGTGTATTTATAAGTTTTAATTTTTGTTGTCCTATATTTTTTATGACATGGTAAACAAATAAAATTATTTATATTGTAATGAAATATAATATAAACTCTTTTTTGTAATTTATAATTTCCCAGAAAGTTAACGTACGTTTAACAAATTTTATACTGGAATGAAATAAATAATATTACAAAAATTTGAATAGAGAGCTATATATACGCGTATGAGGTGCTTGCGGTTATGACGAAATTGCGGCGAACGCTTCATTTTCAAATTACAAGGAATTAATTCTTAGCTAACAGCGATACGTGAGTTAGGTCAGTAGAAGCACGAAAAGTAATGGAAGTAAGTAGGTGGTAGCTATCATACAAACAGCAGACGTTCATCTCACGATAGAGAAAACTTGTGATCTAAATTATAAATCGTTGCATGCCATGCATCAAACTATCTTTTAATATTATTTAAAAATATTTCCGGTGATTCCCTGCTTTTATTAAATTTTCTACTAGACCATGGAAAGCCAGTTATGAATAGATATACATCAAAGAGAATTAATCCAAGCAACATGGTTTTGTTAAATTTATGTAGATACACTTAATAAGAGAAAACCACGTAAATGTTGAGCCTGGACATTAAAATTGTAACGGGGATCAGCATACTTGTAAAGTAACTTCGATGGGAATGTGACAGTGTGAAGTAGAATCTTAATGCGCGTGACAAACTGCAAACAGTATCTATCAAATTAAACTTGATCGTATCGTAAATATTTATCGTGTTCCACGTGTTATTCGCCAGTTGCTGGTGATCGTGCTCGAGAGCACTCTGACGAGTTCACGATGCAGTCGCGGGATTCCGGCTACATAAACGTGTTTTTATTCGCGAGGCAGTTACAAGACGAGGTTGCGTTATACACATGTGGACAATGTTTCATGAAGTTCCAGAGCTCCCCGACCATAAGACAGAAAAATACATAACTTGGTAGGTCTATCCTAATACTTTTTCTGTAATCGCAGCGTGTTAGATATATATCATTGTTATACTCCTTACATTCTTCCGTGACAAGGTTATGTCACGCGATTGTACTATATTATATTACTGGTATATCTCTGTATTATACTATACTGCATGACTGCTGGTTACGTATAATTTTTCTACTTTGTACTTAGACGGTTTTCGGATACATAATTGTGAAATAAACATTCTTTTTCGAGGTATCGAGAATTGTCAAATTTACTAGACTACAATGTATTTATTTGAAAGATTCAATTATGAGATTTATTCTTATACTGTAATTATTTTTCACGCGGATTACTTAATGAAGGTAGTTCTTTAAATGTTAATTTTGAAACAATTGGAGTATTTAATTGAAATATTTAGTATTACCTATAAATATAGCATAAAAATTGATCATAAATGTCATAAAACAAGTTTAAATAATTTCTTTTTCATTTTTCCAACTACTTATTACATTTTTTTTTCAATACTCAAGTAAAATAATTATAAAAAGAAATAAATGCTTCATATTATATTTGAAGTTCAAGTTTGGTAATGGAGATTTAGAAATTTATTAATTTTAAATATCTTATTATTGAAGTATTTAAAATAAATTAATCATGTTGGTAGAAATCAAAATTGTCTTAAAATGTCTAAATTAACCTAATTAATTAAAGAAAATTTTCTCAATATTGGATGTACTTATATAGCTACCTTTATATTAAATTTATTGTACTTAACTCCTTTGCGATCACAGTTATTTACCACTACAGAAGGAAAATAATTTTGCTATAAAACAGTATTGATTTAACAGAATTTTAGCATTATTATCATATAGTCGTAACATGTCTTGTAGATATCAAAGTGAAAAATTAAATTGCCTAAAAAGAAATACATGTTCCATGTTTAGATAAAGTAAGTTACCCTTGAAACAATGACTACGAATCTTGTAACAAAAGTATTTTTTCATTGTTTCAAATAAGAGATGGATACAATGTATTGTATGTTGCTTGGGCGATAGCACTTAGAATAGCACGGGAACAAGGGGTCTCTTAGTACGTGTTTTGTTTGTACTTTTGGTTGGTTATATGTAACTGTATTGAAGATTAGTAAATTAGTACAAAATATGAGATGACTATGGACAAAAACTGATCAATTAGACCTATATTTCTTCGAAAGACCATCTCCTGTGCAATGCAGAGTATACCCATGTCTCTGTACTCTGATAATTGCTCTTGATCGATAACATTTTGATTCTCTCAATAGGATGAACAATTATTGTGATTGTTAGTGTATTTTAGAGTTCTTTTAATAAACAGACTGTTAAAAATATGGAAAAACTTTAATTGTGTAGTATATAATAAATTATAAATGATAATGAAAATAATGAGAAAATTACTCATGTCACTTACTTCTAATGTGTATATATCTTACATATATTTTGTATATGTTTTAAATATATTCTGAACCTAATTAATAATGAGTAATAACTCAAAGTTAGTATAAAATATTGACCAAAAGATTGAGTACAAGTACTTATTAATATGTAAAGTATGCTCTAAATTTTTATTATTAATATAATGTGAATACTTTATTTGTCTATTTCTCTGCATACAAAGTTATGAAAGTCATTAAAATAATTTACAATAATAGATGAAATACTTTCTAAAGTGATATTCCATATTTTTAAGCACATCCGTTTTATTATAGTAACTACATTCTTCTCGTTCTTAATATTTTCTTCTGTTATTTAATATTTCTTGATATGCATTTGCAACTGATTCATAGAAGTTTTAATAAATTATATCTTGACCATTATTAAATTTCTCGATTCAATTCATTTCTGTAGAGGCTGTTATTGTGGTACTTATAATTTTAATCATAATATCATCCGTAATGGTTCATTATATTAATAAACGAAATTCTGACCAAGTTAAGGTGGTATTATATTCAATTTCAATATATTCTTTTACACTTCTTTTTCTTTAATATTCTATCAATTTTTACTGTACCACCTGTTCTTTTAATAAGATTAAAAGATTAGATAAAATCAAGGAACAAAGAAATTAAAAGAAATTTATCCGGTACTGCCCGACTATAAGGTACAAAGTCAGTACTGCATGAGAAGCATGTAGAAAGTCTTAGTTTTAATACGTATCTAATATACAAAGCAAATGACAAAAAATAAGAGCACTTGTGCATACCTAATAGTTTAAAAATAATGTAAATAATACAACAAAATGAGTTAACTACCTTAAAAGTAAAAAGTGAGGTATAAAAACTTTTTCCGTACGGACGGCGCAAGGATACTAGAGATTTTTCGTTATATGTATTGTTCATGGCATTGATTAATTACCGTTTAACTGTATTGACGAATATTATTACCGAAAATGCAAATAAGAAGAGTCGTGCCTCTTTCCACTTCGGCCAATTAGACCTACAGTGGATCACAAAATTATTCACTCAGTCGATAGTGCGGTAAAGATAAATGAATTAACCATACAACGAAGAACTTTTTCAGATTTCTTTTAATGGATATACATTATTTACAGTTCAGTGTAACAAAATGGTATAAAAAAGTATAAAGTTTTGATTTATAATTGCAAAAAAA